TTCTTTCTTTCTTTCTTTCTTTCTTTCTTTCTTTCTTTCTTTCTTTCCTTTCTTCCTTCCTTCCTTTTTTCCTTCCATACAGGGTTTCTCTGTGCAGCCTTGGCTGTCCTGGACTTGCTTTGTAGACCAGGCTAGACTCAAACTCACAGAGATCCACCTGCCTCTGCCTCCCCAAGTGCTGGGATTACAGGTGTGCGCCACTGTGCCAGTAAGGTAAACCTTGTAGAACTCCAGGCTCTAGTGGGAACTGAACTCACACACAATGCACCATTTTTGTCAAATATTTTAATTTCTCAAAGGGAACTGAACACGTAATAAAAATATACATTTCTGATTTTTTCCTTCTCTATGAAAACCTTTTAAGTGGTGGTTTTTGCTTTTTCTTTTTTTGATTACTTTGTATACCTCAAGTTGGCTAATCAGTTATTATTCCTTTAAAAATCACTCTGCACACGAAGTGTTGAGTTTCAGTATCAATCTCACTTGCCCCTTTTGTCTTAATAAAAAAATTTTCTACTTCAAGATGTAACACATTTTTAAAGTTAAATGCATTTTGAGGACAGGTCTGACTGTGAACCCTGGGCTGACGGAGTCCAGCCTGGCCAGTCTCGGTTTCCCAACAACTGTGAAGATGAGATATACATTTACACAGAGGAAATACATTTTCATCTATGGCAATATTCAAAATGATATATTTGGGGCACTGAAGTATCGTTGAAGCAAGTGATTATTAAGAGAACCGTAATATTGTTGGAAGCAACTCTCCAAAGTGAGTAGTGTTTTAGGTAGGGTTTTCATTTTGGCACGGGAGGCTCTTTGCCTTCTCAGTATGTACTTACTTATTCTCTGAAGTTTTTGTTATATACCCAGAGGCACTAAAAACACAGAAATGACTAAAATATACTGTTTGGTCATAACTGCATAATCCAACATTACTGTGTTCATGTTTTTGTTTTCTGTTTTCACAAACAGCTAACACCCATGAAAGACATTTAGCCCACACCTTTAGTTACTCCAAAAGGGGTGAAAAACTCAAGAGCACTTGAGATGTCCCTTGACATGGTAAACAGCTCCCTGCATCTCATCTCCTTTCATCTGCTTGCTTCCAGTGAAGTGATGAAAATGAAGAAGAGGTATGAAGTGGGTCTGGATAAACTGGACTCGGCCTCGTCTCAGGTGGCCACCATGCAGAGCGAGCTTGGGGCTCTGCACCCTCAGCTGAAAGTTGCCAGCAGAGAGGTTGACGAAATGATGGTGATCATCGAGAGGGAGTCCATGGAGGTTGCCAAGACTGAGAAGATCGTGAAAGCTGATGAAACAGTAGCGAATGAACAAGCCATGGCTGCCAAAGCCATCAAAGACGAGTGTGACGCCGATTTGGCCGGAGCCCTGCCCATCCTGGAGTCTGCACTGGCTGCCCTGGACACCCTGACCGCGCAGGTGAGGGCTGGGCCCGTGCTGAGGGCTTTCCGCTCTGCACCACAGTTTAGTTTCTCTCCAATTAGCATCCAGATTTAAGGAACATTATAAATTGGCAAGAGGATCCCTTAGCTTACCCAAAAAAGAAAACTACATGACAAAGGCACTTTAGAAAAGGAACAAAGCTGCCAATTGCCACCACCGCCACCACCACCACCATCATCACCATCATCACATCCTCCTCCTCTTCCTTCTTCTCCTTTTCTGCCTCTTCCTCTTTTTCTTCATTTAAAATTTTATTATTGCTATTTTAAAAGATTTATTTTTATGAGTTCTTCAAGAATTCCATACAATGTGTGTTGACCATATCCACCCCTGTCATTCAACCCTTCCCGGGCTTATCCTCCTTTCCCATCACGGCAGTTCTTTCCAGAGCTTCATTTTCCTCCCAATTGACTTGTCAAAATTCTTGCCACGGTTCTGCCATTGCTGCTATATCTACCCAATACAGCAAACACGTTTCTGTTTCTTAAGGTACCTTAGAGCTTACTTTGACATTATGATCTTATCAATATGATTCCAATGGACATTCAAGCATAGATTTATTCCTATTAATAATTAAAACATTGTTTTTCAAGGATATCACTGTTGTAAAGTCCATGAAGAGTCCTCCTGCTGGCGTCAAGCTTGTCATGGAAGCTATCTGCATCTTGAAAGGCATCAAAGCTGACAAAATCCCTGACCCAACAGGTTCAGGGAAGAAAATTGAAGATTTTTGGGGCCCTGCTAAGAGACTTCTTGGTGACATAAGGTTTCTGCAGTCACTCCATGAATATGACAAGGACAACATTCCACCGGCTTACATGAACATCATAAGAAAGAGTTACATCCCGAACCCAGACTTTGTTCCAGAAAAGATCCGAAACGCTTCAACAGCTGCTGAAGGTCTGTGCAAGTGGGTCATCGCAATGGATTCCTACGACAAGTAAGTTCTGAGGAGAAGCCTAAGGCTGTGCTGGGTTTGCTCACCTGCTCATGTACACAACAGAAAACTGGAAACCTACACATGAGAAAAGATTTTCAGAAAACATGAGTCTGAATTGCTGCTTTATTCTTACTAGAGCCCCAATCACAGCAATTTTTGAAAAAAGAATATGTAATTTAATAATTCTTCAAGTTTGGGGACTTAAGATTACTTTTGACTAAAAAAATTCTTACTCTCCCCAAAACTTTTGCTTATTTATCATGTTAGAAAATTAAATAGGAGAATTTCTAAAATTTTATTCATTTAAATCTAAACTTTTAATTCCTTTAAAAATAACAAAATTGGAGCACAGTAATAACCGATTATTTTATATCTTACAAATGAAAATTGTATTTCAAATGGGGACAGAGTCAGGGTGTGGCTGGGTGGTAGAGCATACTCCTCTAGCAGGAACAAGGACAGATTCTCTTCCCAGCATCCTGGGCAGAAATATTTGGACTGGAGAGATAGCTCAGTCTGCAAAATGCTTGTCTTACCTGCCCGAGGAGCCTCGCTCAATCCACAGAATCAGGTAGGAAAGCCAACCATGGTGGCCCTTCCTTAGAATCCCAGGCCTGGGCATGCAGCGGTAGGTGGAGCCTTGCAGCTTGCTGGCCAGCTCTCTTCGCCTACTCTTCAAGTTCCAGGCCAGCCTGAGAGACTGTCTCTGAGGAACGACACCTGAGCTTTCCCTCTGGCCTCCAGATGTAAGCTCACACATGCGTGCCTGCACCCACATACACATGTGCCTCTGTACACGTACTATAGTGCACACACAGACGGAGGGCAATTAGAAAGAAGAGTGTCTTTTACATGCTTTCAAGTCTTCTTCGATGTGTGTTTTGCGCATGTGTCCAGAACATATGTATGTGTTTGCGTGGGTGTACACGCGATTTTCCCCCTCCTGTTTTTAATAAACTAGAATGGCTTGATCTCACAGAGCAGGCACTCTCTTGCAAGATGATGAGTGGGAATCACCACACACTGAGACACAGGGAGCAATGTCTTCATTTTTCTCCCCCAGTGCTGGCTTGGCATGTCGAAAGAGTCCCTAGCATACTGAATGCCCACACTAAATTCAAGGCTTGTGAAACGGTACATTTCTGGCGGCAAGGACTGCCGGATTGTGACGAGGGCCGCCAAGCTTAACTCACGGTTGCGGCATTTCTTTCTTCTCTCTGCAGTGTCAATTTCTCCATGCTTTTTAGCCTCTGTTGAATTTTGTTCCGTATTGTGTGAAAGTAACTTTTACTTACCTGTTTTAATTGTTGTCTTGGAGGCTTACAGCCTCTGTCTGCTAACCGGGGCCTAGTCCTGGAAGCTTCTAGCCTCTGTACAATCTAATGTAAACCTAGAATGTTTTCAGCCTCTGAGATTAACTGCTGAATAAACTCACCCTTCCTGGCACTTTCTGAATTCTGGCTGGCTGGTTCAACTCAACTGTCTGGCTCAAAACACCTCTCCAGGTGGACTGATTCAAACTGGCTTCTCTCAGTTTCTGACTAATGGCTCTCCTTGGCCTTAGAACTTACCAACTTTGGCAATACATCCTAATCTTCTGGTTCCTTCTTGTTCTCTGGTTTCAACTGCCTCTGTTGACCTGCTGTGAACTCGCAAACAAACCCCAACCTTCCTTCTACAAACCAACTTTACCTTCATTGTTTGAGATTAAAGGTGTGTGGGATGTTTGCATTGCAGCCAGATTCCATAGACCTAGGTCTTTGGTTATGATCCCTTGCCACAGCAGCCGTGTTTCTGGATTAAAATTTCTTTACAGTATTAATTGTTGTTATTTGTTTCAATACAGATCCCACTAAGAGCCCTGGTTGGCCTGGAACTGACGGTCAACCAGGCTGATCTCCAACTTGAAGTGATCCTCCTGCCTATGTTTCCAAGTGTGGCACTTGCCTAACTGACTTCACTGTTTTAATTCCCAGTGCTCTCCTCTCTTTCTCTCCTTTGTCGCCTTGACCTGTCCCAATCACAAAGTCACACAAAGGAAGCTCCTCATCTGCTATCTTACCCTTCAAGTCTTAATGATCATTTCTTATTTTTTTGCATCAGATTTGATTCTTAGGTGAAATATGGAATTGACAAATGGGTGTAAATTCTGCATAAAGTGTTTTGAGTCATTGTAAAGAGTATTTGGAAGGTAAGCTTTTGTTAGAAAGCTTCCTCTGTTCAGAGGAGTTTGATTTTCCAACTTTATTGTTTTGTAGAGTGGCAAAAATTGTAGCTCCCAAAAAGATAAAGCTGGCTGCGGCTGAAGGGGAGCTGAGGATCGCTATGGAAGGTCTTCGAAAAAAGCAGTCTGCCTTGAAGGAGGTTCAGGACAAGCTGGCCAAGCTTCAAGACACGCTTGAGATGAATAAGCAGAAGAAAGCTGACCTGGAAAACCAGGTATGTGCTGACAGTTGCAAATGGGAGATGATCTCTACGTTGCAAATAAGAAAGACTTTGCAACCAGTTCAAAACTCACCAATCCTGTTTCCTTCCTGGCCATGATTAGGGAGTTATGGTCCTGAGGCTAGACCTGCCCAAGGCCTGGGTTTTCATAGCCCTAGAACTTAGAATGGTTCTGGCATTTAAAACACAATCACATGACTTTACATAGCCTAGTGGTATAACACCAGTCTTTGCCCCTTGGTCCACAAAGCATAAACCATTCACTTTTCACCCTCATCTTGTGATGAGGAAGCGGATGACCGCAGTATTGAGAGAGCTGGGTTACACAGCAAGCCCTGGCAGAGCTGTGATAAGAAAACATCACTGAAAATACTTTTAAGACCAAAACCATTGCCATAATTTACATAGTGATCCCATTTACACAAACTGCTAACGTCTGATTCTGTAACAGAAAAACATACCAAAATATTTTCCAGCAGTCACCATGTGTCAACAGCTTGTCGTGTGTAAGCTACTTTTGTTCTCTTGAAAAAATTAAGCTTTTTACCATGTGTCTGTGGTGCATGTGCCTGTGTGTGCCCACACATGCGTGCGCGCACATTTGTGCCACGCTGCGTGCATGGAGGTCAAAACTTTTGTGTAGTTTGGTTCGCCCCCCCCCCCTTCATGGGATCAAACTCAGTGTCCTTTATATCCAGAGCCATCTCATTGGCCCTTGTTGTTCTTTGTCATGTCTTTACTCATTCCTTGACAAAGTAAAGGTGGTGTTAACATTGCCACTCTGCAGAGGTTGGAAGAGTCCTCCCCCTCCTCACCCAGCCCTTCCTCCAGGGATAGCACTTTTTTTTTTTAAACAAGAAGTTTATTTAAACAACAAGATGCTTGACTTGAAGGAAAAACTATCTAGAATCGTTTTGTTCAGGAGTAATTTACCTCTTCTTAAAGACAGATTGCCCCATATGTAACAGCTACAAAAAAAGTTATAAAATTGTTGTTGTTCTTACAATGACAAATGAAAAACATGACAATTCTGCAATTGAACAAGGTATGCAAGGATTTTATGCTGTTGGGTTCTTATGTTAGAACAATGAGAGAAAGATACCTTACTGGCATAGAAAGGGAAGTGCCGAATGAGCACGCCACTAATGGAGAAAAGGGGAGATTTCCACAGAACCAGTACTTCCCCACGACCATCTCCATCCGATGTCAACCAAAACAAAACACTGGCCATTTGGTTTAAAAAAGAAGAAGAGAAGAGCAATATGCTTGTGCGCGTACACCAATTATTTTATGTACAATAAGGAAATGGGGACAGGGAAATGAAAGACTAATGAAAAACTATACTGCAGTCATCAGGATGTGGTGGAACCAATTGTGGCTTTCTAATTAAGAATGTGCTCTTGGTCTATGAAAAACTTCTAGAGTAAGCGGCAGGTTCCCTTTTCTGTTGACACCTCCTGTCCGCTGCCAGAACACATCAGTTGTATCTTCGTCCCCCAGTTCCAGCTGTGCAGGTGTGTCCGTTTTTTGCCCATCAAACCGGAATCTTTTCTGCCTTGTGGACAAACCTTTTTGCTTATAGGCTTTCATGAGTTTACTAGGTGGTGTCTGCCTCTTAATCTTAAACTGCACCACAGAGCCGCCCTGCCCTGCCACCTTCAATTTCAGATGACCGTTGTCCTCAGTCTTGATTCCTTCCTTGGGCTTCTTGTCGGCCCTGGCGAGCGCCGGAGTCTCCTCAGCTGCCGCTTCCCGAAGAAACTGGCACACCTCCCTTGCTTGCCACAGCCTTCTCAGGGCTGTTAACCTGTTACTGGGCCTGATTACATTTTATTCAAATAATATAACCACTAAGTGGGTATATAGCCACTCACTGGAAACATTGTTCAATTCTGCTATGTGTTTGAAATTTTCAGGGGTTTGTAATAAAAATGTTGAAAAAATATGAAATGAACATATTCATATATTTATAGTAAATGTGTTTTCCAGAAGGAAAAAGAAATCACAGAATTATTTTCTTTAGGGTTTTCCAATGACAACATTTTTGTGGTCTGAGACCCACTTTATTTTGAGTGCTGTTGAAAGAAAAATTGATGAGGAAACCAGGAAGGCAGAGGTCCCTTAGGGTGGGAAAACTGAGTAAGAAAGAAAACATCAAAATCATCACCCATTACAAACCTTGTGTGTTTTCAAGCTCATCAATAGGCGAACTAACATTTTATGTCTTCTAATTTAAAAGTGTTTAATTGAATAATGGTTACTAGTATTTGGAAAATTCATAAAACAACTTCTCACCCCAAAATAACGCAAACTTCTCTCTTACTGATCTTAAGAGTTCTCCATTATAAAATTTCACAGTATGAATCCCTAAGTAAACTCTACTCACCTCCTTTTATGAGTGAGGATGTTTGCCTTTCTGGATCCAGGCTGCTCTGAATGTAATCTTTTCTAGGTTTGTCCATTTACCTGAAAATTTCATATTCTCATTTTCCTTTACATCTGAGTAGTATCCATTAGGTACATGCAGCACATTTTCACTATTAATTTACCCATTGAAGGACATTTGGTTTGTTTCTGTTTTCTGACTACTGTAAACAGAGCAGCAGTGAACATGCCTGAGCACATGAGCCTTCTGTGAAACAGACTCTTCTAGGAATGGCTGCTCAAACAAGGCTGTACCAATGACAGTATCAATGGACATGCTAACATGGAAGAGATTGTGATGTCCCACATGCAGAGAGAGGGGGAATTAGCCTTTCCCAGGGACGAGCCCCCTTTTGGTTGTCCAATGCAGAGTGGTCAGCCTTGAAACCATGTACACACCAACAAGAAAAATGAACTCACATTTATGTGTGTGTGTGTTCATACATACATACATATATGTGCGTATATGTATATGTGTGCGTACATTATATATATATATATAATGTATATATATCAATAAGAAAGAAAAAGAGGCGATCAACCTTGAGAGGATATGAAAGGAACTCAAGAGGAAATGGCGAGAAATTCTACTGCCATTAAACTCTTTTTTAGTAAAATAAACATGATTTTATTTTAAGAAGAATAATGATGCTGTCACTTAAAAATTAACTTACAGTGACTTAGTCTAAGCCCCCTGTGGGACACTGGCTTTACACAGGTTTGGGTGCTTTCCCCAAGTTTGCCCCCTTGGTAAACATCTGCGTATTTCCCTTTTTATCGAATTGCTTAACTGTGTAAAATAAACTTGGGCTGATTGTTTGATGCAGAAAGCAGGCTCTTGGCTATTGATTGATGTTCCCTTTGAAGCTTAACTGCAAATGTCTATGAGAATGACACCATTTGACAACCTGAAAGCTTGTGCTTTGTAAATCTGCTAAAACTTTGAACCTTTAAAAGCAACCATAAACCAACTAAGTGAGACACATTTATAAAATATTTAAAATACAGTGCTAATGGGGGATCCCGGGCCCTAGACATACTGTTCAGACACCCCTAACCTGCTTCGTCCCGAGTCCTCCCCCATTTTAGTCAGATTATTTTAAAACACCTATATCTGCTGCATGAGAATGTTTGTTATTAATTTAATCTCAATATCTTGTATCAAGGGTCATTTCTTTAGAGTTAGCCTGCCTACACTATTATATATTAGATACTCTGTAGGAATTCTGAGAACTTTACTGAAGTAACTTGTTTTTCAAAGACACATGATGTCATGGACTTTCCACATCTCCAGTGAGACAATGCATTTGTGTGTGTGTTTAAGTGCTTTTTAGAACTTCATTCTAGTCTGTAATTGAGAAAGATTATCTCTTTTTTAAAAAAAAAATGTTTTAGTATTATTTTTATTAATTACAGTTTATTCACTTTGTATCCTACCTGTAGCTCCCTCCTTCCTCTCATCCCAATCCCACCCTCCCTCTCCTTTCTCCACCCATTCCCCTCCTCTAATCCACTGATAGGGGAAGTCCCCTTCCTTCTGATCCTAGTCTATCAGGTCTCATCAGGAGTGGCTGCCTTGTCTTCTTCTGTGGCCTGGTAATGCTGCTCCCCCCTCAGGGGGAGGTGATCAAAGAGCAGGCCAATTCATTCGTTTCAGGGACAGTCCCTATTCCCATTACTATGGAACCCACTTGGACATTGAACTGCCATGGGCTACATCTGTGCAGGGGTTTTAGGTTATCTCCATGAATGGTTGATGATTGGAGTATCAGTCTCAGAAAAGACCATTGTGCCCAGATTTTTTGGTTCTGTTGCTCTCCTTGTGGAGCTCCTGTCCTCTCCAGGTCTTACTATTTCCCTCTTGTTTTATAAGATTCCCTGCACTCTCTGCCCAAAGTTTGGCCATAAGTCTCAGCATCTGCTTTGATACCCTGCAGGGTAGAGTCTTTCAGAGGACCTCTGTGGTAGGCTCCTGTCCTGTTCCCTGTTTTCTCCCTCTTCTGATGTCCACCCTCTTTGCCTTTCTGAAGGGGATTGAGCATCTTAGCCAGAGTCGTCCTCCTTGATTAGTTTCTTTAGGTGTATAGATTTTAGTACATTTATCCTATATTATATGTCTAATATCTGGCACTTTCTCAGACAATTAGGAATAGTGCTACCTCAAGATCCAGCTATACCACTCCTAGGCATATATCCAACATATGCTCAAGTACACAACAAGGACATTTGTTCAACCATGTTTGTAGCAGCTTTATTAGTAATAGCCAGAAGCTGGAAACAACCCAGATGCCCCTCAGTTGAGGAATGGATACAGAAATTGTGGAACATTTACACAATGGAATACTACTCAGCAATAAAAAACAAGGAAATCATGAAATTTGCGGGTAAATGGTGGGAACTGGAAAATGCCATCCTGAGTGAGCTATCCCAGAAGCGGAAAGACACACAGGGTATATACTCACTCATAAGCGAAAAATTATCTCGAGTTTGGAGTTCTGTAGAATTTTCAGTTCACTTTTCTTGAAGGCGTTGACTAGAACTCACCTTTGTTTTCGAGGTTGATTTGTGCAGCAAGAAGCTGGAGCGAGCAGAGCAGCTGATCGGGGGCCTGGGTGGCGAGAAAACTCGCTGGAGCAACTCGGCGCTGGAGCTCGGGCAGCTGTACGTCAACCTGACGGGGGACATCCTCATCTCCTCAGGGGTTGTTGCCTACCTGGGGGCCTTCACCTCTAACTACAGACAGGTGAGGGGAGCCTTTGGCTCTCTTCCTTGCTTTTTCCCAGCATCACAACGCCAACCTCGGGTTTGTTTGTTGCTGTTGTGGGAGAACTCCTGAGCTTTTTTTCCCCATTTTTGTTTTGTTTTTTTACTTTGTGTTTGTTTTAAATTTTGGATACCACAAGGAAAAGCAGAATACTTTAAAATCGTTTGTACTTTAGGTATCCTGTAAATTTCTTGGTAGCCAAAAGCTGCTATATGAAATATTGTTTTAAAATCTGACTTTAAAGTGACAGGCTCTAGATGAAATTTGGTTCCTAAGTGCGGAGAAATCAGGTGTGTATGTGTGTGTCAGCGAGGGGATGCATCTCTCTACATGGATCTTAACCCCGGGAGCGACTGAAACACTGGGAGTAGAGACGGCCCACCTTCCTCGGAGGGCTTTGTGGGGTCCCTTCGCACACCTGCATTCTGTGTATGCTGAGCTTCACGGAGGATTTCTTCGTCAGCAGGACTGATCCCTCCCCCCCCCCCCCCCACCCCATTACAGTTTCTTTGATTACTGAATTTTTAAAAAAACAAACTCTTTTAAAATTCTCACATAGATGGAGCTTCTATATTTAGCCCTTCCATTTCAGAGGCCTCTCTGTCTTTACTTCATTCAGGTCACAGTGGCGCCGTGACCTTCTGATTTTCAGCTCTGCCTCTTCATTTATGCATTGTTCAAATGAGCTCCCAGAGGTGTGGCATTAATAACTTATATCTAGGTCAGGTGATTAATATTTGACTTAACTACTGGTCAGGTGGATTATTTTGCTTAACAGTTTTAGACATGGATGCTTGAAAAGCTTGGGACAATTTGCCAGAACCAGCAAGCTAGTCAGTGAGAGTCTACGCTCCTGCGTCAACTTGGAACAATCGAAAGACTATCAGGCTCTCACCCCCATCTGTTAGCTTAAGTCATTTATCTGCTGCTTGGGAAGCTGGAAGTGCCACACCACGCCAGGCCACGCCACACCACACTTGATCCTTGGTTATTTTATATGTTACTGTAAGAGCCTGAAATATATCTGTAAGAGAAAATACCAGGAAATGCTTGGAAAAGGATGGGGAAGCTGTGTTTGTGTGTGTGTGTGTGTGTGTGTGTGTGTGTGTGTGTGTGTGTGTGT